ATATATATATATATATAGCAAATTACTGCAGTTGGTTTTCTTTGTGATCTTGTATATTGTATGCATTTAAAGTAGTTTCTCAGATGGGACCATTGATTGCCATTATCTAAAATGACAGTAAAGATTAAGAGACTTGAAGTTGTATAACCTGTAATAACCTTTTTTTGTTGTAATATGGTTAATGAGAAAAAGTTAATTCCCTGGAAAAGCATAGGACTTTGGAATTAAGCACAATTGGTTTTTTATCATTACTGGTTTTTGTGATTTAAGAAAATGGCATAACTCATGTGTGTGTATTTAAATGTGTTAAATGACAATGATCCATTTTAATCCATTGGTTATGAGGGGATTATGGAGACAAACTTTTTTCCATAATCCCCTCATAACCAATGGATTAAAATGGATCATTGTCCACATACACTAAATTAGTTCCTTTTACAGTCTCCTCCTGACTGCCCTCTGTATACTAATTTCTCAACAAATAATTAAACCATTCTCATTAAGTATAAATTTTATGCACACAAGCTATTTTTACCTTGCTTCTGCCTGTTTTTTTACTTCTTTATGTATGTTTAATTTTTTAAGTTTATGTATAAAAGCAGCAAATGCTTTGAAGAAATTCAGAAGACTTTTTAGAAGTATATGGAGAAAAAATAAGATTCATTTTATCACTCATTTGCCACCTCTTTCCTCTTTACCTTCTGTTGCTACTTAGAGTTAACCAGGATTATTAATTTGGTATATTGTGCTCTAGATATTCTGTTTATTTTTATTTACATGTACCTGGCAGTTACAAAATGTAATGCAATTATATGCACATTAGTGTTTTTTTTTTAAAATAATTATCACATTTGTTTAGTGTAGTAGGCATTCCAATGCTATACATAACTTACTTAATTCCACTTAAGAACTTTCTAGTAATATTTCTTTTTATCTTGGAATTTTTTTTCCATATTAATAAACTTGGAAGTAATAAGTGAAATATAAAAGTAATTTTTCAAATATTGAGTTTACAAATAATATTTAATTTCAATATTCCATATTAAATATTTTTTAAGGAGGTCTATTAGAGATTATGTTTTATAGTGAAAGTCTAGGAGTAGAATTTCTAAATAATATAGTTCATACGCCACAATCTTGTCTGGTTCTTAAAAGATAAAAATAGGCATCATTGAAAATGTTTCCACATATCAATATTCGATAATTTTTAAGGAGGTCTAATGGCTGCTATGATACATTGATTTTGTGAGTATAATTTAGTATAGTACTTTTTGGTACTGATCATAATTTTAAAGCCTGTAATTTTTAGATTCAACCGTTCTAGACTATAAAAAATTATAAAAAATTATCTTGCATATGTGTTAAAATAATACTCACTACAGAATTATTTGAAATAGTGAAAAATTATAAATATGTTCATAGATATTTTAACTATTTTCTGCTACATTATGGCGACGATCTCTTCCAGTATGTTGACATTTTTAACTTTTATATATTCTTTGTCTTCCATACTTTATAGTTTTTATAGTTTTTTAGGCATATTTTTCCCAACCTAAAATTATGAAAATAAATTTTGTCCTTTATTTCCTTCTAGTACTTTTAAAATTACAAAATTGGTTTTATTTGTTTTAGATGTATCACCATCTTGAACTTTTTGTGTGTTTGTGTATGTGTGTGGGCAAGCTTTAGCCATATGATATTGATCAGAATTGCTTTGTTTATATTGACAAATTTGGAAACAAACAATATTTACAGAATTGTGTATTCCTATCTAGGAATTTAGCATGTGTTTCCATTCAAGTTTTTTCTTTATGTTCTTTCATAAAATGTCATAATTTCTTTTAATTGTTTGTTTTTAGATGTCTCCTCATTTTTGTTGGTCTCATTTAACACAATTGCTATGATATCCCCATGAGATTTTTGATCTATTATTTGCAGTTGGCTGTGAAATTTATTGCCTACTTAATACCAAAATTTATTAATTATTTTTTAGTCCGGCATCCCATCTACATTTTTCAATAAAGCATCCACATACGCTTTCCTGGGAATACTATACTATGTTTCAGTGTAAAGCTCACCTTGTCATGAGGTTGATTGAAAATAGGATCAGTATGGAATTTATGCTACAGGTAAGTATTAAAAGTTAAGAACTTAGTAATTGAAAAGATCTATTCTGTATGTTTATAATCTGTATACTAGTCTATATAAAAGGAGTCAGGGAATTTGAGTTTAGATCTAGAATTTAACATGTGCATTTTTTAGAAGATTTATTTATTTATGCATACAAGAGCTGGAGTATAGGGAGAGGTACAGGGAATGAGGGAATTCACCTGAGACAGAGTGGGGAGCAGGATAGGCAAATTCACTGAGTACACTGCTGAGGCGAGCAACAGGTGAGACAGGAGAGGTCTGATGCACCATGTGGGTCACCTCCCTGACCATGGATCAAACTCTTGCCACAGTGGTTGGTGATAGCTTGATAGCACTGAGACTTTAATCTCTGCACCACCAGGGAAACCTTAATATGTGTTTTTTGTTTGTATATGCTCAGATGTAGAATGGATAGCAATGCTTTATCCACTTAGTGCAATATTATAAAATAAATTAGAATGTGTGGATAAATACAAAACCAGTTTTATATATGATTTTGTATTTCTCATTATTTAGAATACTAAGAATGAAATATGATGTTTGTGTTTGCTATCACTAAATCATACCATTATTTTAAGAGCAAGTGCTTGTATATATAGTTGAGATATAGTAGAGATCATAGAAACCAGATGTAATATTAATGTGTAATTTTACACATGTATTATAAATGTTATATTTTCTCATAACATTTTAAAGATCAGTGAAAAAATGAAATTATTTAAAGCATTGCAAATGTGCACTAAAGTTTTCTTTAATCCTCCTATCCTTCAACTATCCTTTAGTAAAGAGCATTAATTTTAAATCTGGGAGGGTTCATAACAGTGAACTTTTTTTTTTAAAGATTTATTCATTTATTCATACAGAACTGGGGTACAGGCCAGAAATGCGGAGGGTGAGAGGATTCACCAGGGATAGAGTGGGGAGCAAAACAGGCAGATCCACGAAGTGCACTGCTGAGGGGAGCAGAGGGCGGGTCAGGAGAGGTCTGCCGCGCCATGTGGTCACCTCCGGGGCAGGCGCGGATCGAACTCATGTGGAAGTGGCTTTAGCTTCTTAACGCTGTTCTTTAACCCGCTGCGCCACCGGGGAGGGCCCATAACAGTGAACTTTTTAGGGTAATGTAAATCCTGATAAATATTCTCAAATCGTAAAGTTTAGTGTCTATTGTAGAGCTCTTAGCACAATAAATTGTAGTTATTGTATATAATTCTTGGTAAATACAGTAATTATGTTTAGCTAGCTTATCGGTAAAATTCAATTATGTTTGTAGAAAGAATGGTTTAGATTCTGACTGTGCAAGTCTTGTATTGGCATGTTCCTAATTTTTATAACCAGTACAATCTGTGCGGTAAAATATGAAATCATTGTTTTCTATAATTGACTGTAATACAGCTTTAATGAAAACTTTATTGTGCAGAACTGAATGCAGTATGTATTGTTGTACAAGCTAAATATCAATTTTATCATTACAGGTTTTCAATAAACTGCTAAGTTTGGCCAGTACTGCTTCATCTCAGAAGTTCCAGTCACATATGTGGAGTCAGATGTTAGTTTCCACATCTGGGTTTTTGAAATCCATTTCTAATGTTTCTGGCAAAGATATCCAGCCTTTAATAAAGCAGTGGGTGTATCCTTTTCAATAGCATTTCAACAAGGCAGGGGAAGGAAATAAGGTTATATGTGTAAGGATAAGGAAGAAGAGATTTGGGAATGAAAGGAGGTAAGGGCTATATATAAATTTCTAAATAATAGTGGAATAACCAGAAGCTGTAAATCATTTCCTGTAAGATGACTACTGATCACTGAGGTATCCACATACACATTTGTAAAACTGGGTATATTCTGAAGCGCTTTTTATTATTTAAGTAAAGTAATAGACTTGATGGTGAACAAAGTAAATAATCTACCAGGTAGACCTGTAGGGTTTCTTGTGAAAATGCAGTAGTCTGGTGACTTGTAGATATGGCTAGAGGTTGGTATATCTTCAGTGATAATTTGAAGATTGTCCACCTCTGCATTTTTTCTTTCAAAAATGCTAGTATACTAATAACCTTAGTGAAGTGGTTTTGCCTCTTTAAAAACAGATTGTTAATGCTTCAGATTAAGATTTTGTTTGAATGTATGGAAAAATTTTTTATGAGAATTTTGAATACTTTGCCACCTGGTTTACAATAAAGTGAGCTCAAGCTTGAACTGATGGGGTTGCATTTTAAAATCATTACTACCATAATGAATTATTTTGTTTAGTTCATTTTCATCTCAGTGTGCAAAAGTTCCTTTACAATTCTTTAGAGACCAGAGCGGAGTAGTAAAATTTTATGGAAGTTTTGCATTTAATAGAAAACGAAATGTTTTGGAATTGGAAATAAAACAAGATTATACATCTCCTGGAACTCAGAAATACGTGGTAAGTTATTTTCTAAAATGGCCTGTTGTACTGCTTTCTCCCCAATTTCAATACAGAAGGATTAAGAGGAGGTAGTGGACATTTTGTAGTGAGGTTTGTTTGCAAAGAATGAAATTTGAGAAAATACCAAGTTAATGGAGGGGAGAGGAGTCAGGGATGAGGATTTCAGAGTACACAGCCCCCCAAGTTCTTCCCTTGGCACTAATTGCCCTACCGTGACTCCAGAAACACATTTTGTACAGTATATTTTATATCTTGATAGTTTTACCTGTACACATGAGACTACATTATGGTATTTTTATAGTGCTGTCTTTGAACAGTATAATTTTTTTTTAAAGGGACCACTTAAAGTGACAGTGCAGGAGTTAGATGGATCCTTCAATCATACCTTGCAAATTGAAGAAAACAGCCTTAAACATGATATACCCTGCCATTCCAAAAGCAGAAGGTAGGCATGACTCATGACTATAAACTTACGTTTATGGTTTAAACTGTAAATCTTATAGATAAAAATGACAAAATAAAAATCTTATTGTATGCTTAATTTCTTAGGCAGAGAACATAATCTTCCCCATTTTACTTAAGGTTAATGTTATCAAACATTTTCTTTATTTGCTTTCTGTTCTTAATGACATTTTTATCCTTAACATTAAATAATTAAATGTAAAATTTATATATAAGAATCCTTATTTCTAGGGGCAGGGGGAGGTGGAATGGAAGTTAAATTTGTGGAGCCAGGAAAAATTCAAGGCAAATTGTTTAGATTCATTCTTACTGATACTGTTGGATTAATAACTATAGGAAATCTGGGAAATGAGCATTAAATACAAGGATGAGCTAAATATATTTATCACTGCATCTTTTTACTGCATCTTTTCTCTATATCAGCATGTTCCTTATTTTCTTTGAGAATTGGGAATGTCACAATTTTTTTTTAGATTTATTTCTTATTTCTTTATATGTATAAGAACTGGGGTTTAGGGCAAAGGTAGGAGGTATGAGAGGATTCACTAGAGACAGAGCAGAGAGCAGGACAACTGACTGAAATACATTGCTGAGGGGGGCAGCGGACAAGACAGGAGAGGTCTGCTGCGTCATGTGGGTCACCTCCCTGATCAGGAATAGAACTCATATTGCAGTGGCGGGTGATAGTTTGATAGTGCTGAAACTTAATAACCTTTGTGCAAGCTGGGAGGCCTGAAATGTCACAATTTTAAACACAATTTTCCTTAAATGCAGGAATAAGAAGAAGAAAATTCCACTGATGAATGGAGAAGAAGTTGACATGGATCTTTCTGCCATGGAGTAAGTTAGTTACTGAAATTTAAAGATCTAATTATACAGTGACATCTGATATCATAGACAGTATCAGAATGTTACTGATTATCTTGTTAGACAAATTTGAAAGTATGTACTCATCGGGACATAGTGCTTATAAAACATTTGAGAGGCAGAAACCTTAAGTTACAAACAAATCTTACATAAATAATAATATCTCTAAAAGGAAAGGAAATTTAACCTGACCTCGAAGAATGAAGAGGAGCCACAGAATGGTGTTAGAGGGCGCAGCCTTGGCTGGAGCAGCTTCCCCCTCTCCAGGGTTCACCTGGCTCTGATCAAGCACTTCCCTAGTGTGTCCTTATACTTTGTAGCTTTAATGGTCCCCAGGTGTTATTTTCTTTATCTTTGAATCAAGACTCTAGGGTATTTTGCATTTGCAAAGAAAGCATAATTTAAATACCTTATTCTAAATTTTCTGTGGTAATTTTTACTAGTCATTATTATATAAAATAACAGCTCAAACACCCCCTCAGCCATCTCCCATCCATCTTGTGCCTGTGTATTCTTTATAAAATAGCTGTCCAGTGATTATTACTACTTGACTACCAAATCATCACAACTGTTTACATACAATTTATGTAAATTTAAATTGTGCTCTTTGAGAAATATGTGAAGATGGATTGGTGATATGTTTATGAACTGTGATTTCAGAACTTGCTATTTAAAAAAGTTGGTCATGAGTCTAGCACTTAAAAAAAGTTTTAAAAATAAGCCATTTAAGAAAATTAATTTAGTAAAATTATTAAATTCATCTTATAGTCAACAGGTTGATTTCCAGGAAAGGTGGCATTTATAACCATAGTCAGTAAATTAACCTAAAGGAAATGAAATGAAGAAATTTAGTCCTTTTTTTTTTCCTACCGCATAACCCCATAATCACAAATCTGAAATCTTCAAATTAATATTTTTGAGTCTGAATATGTGGCAATTACCTTCTTGCCCTTGGGGATCTTTTCAGCAGAATTGATACAGATGAAAAGTTGTAAGAACCTTAAAATATACTGAACACAACAGACAGGTTGACTGTCAGTGTGATTTAAAAAATGATGACAGTAGTATTCCAGGTAGTCTTGAGCACCACAGAAAGAAGAGATTCTGGTTAAAAAGTGCTTTGTTTTTATTTTGCAAATATGTCAAAAATAAATAAATAAAAATGAAAATTGTGGTTCCTTTCAGTGCTGATTCCCCTTTGCTGTGGATAAGGATAGACCCAGATATGGCAGTACTGAGGAAGGTGGAATTTGAGCAAGCTGATTTTATGTGGCAGTACCAGCTCCGCTATGAGAGGGATGTTGTTGCACAGCAGGAATCCATTTTGGCCCTGGAAAAGTTCCCTACACCGGCATCTCGGCTGGCACTCACTGACATATTAGAACAAGAGCAGTGTTTCTACCGAGTAAGAATGTCAGCTTGCTTCTGCCTTGCAAAGGTGAGATTATATGCTGCACAAGAAATCGAGATGATTACTGTGTACTAAGAAGAAAAACTGAATTGAAATTCATCATAGTATCTATCCTATTTAGTAGTCACTCCCCTGAACCTTTTGCAAGTGCTTTTAACAAAGTTGATTTGAAAGAAACATGTATCAGCCTTAAAATAGATAGGCACTACAATTTTATAATTGTCAAACTGAGAGATTTTAAAACCAGGGAGATTTTTTTCACCATTTTATTGAATTGCTAAACATGTTTTTAAAACTAAGAATGTTTTGGTAAGAAATCCTGTGGTATGAGTCATGTTTCACATTATAGTACATGAAATCTATTCATCTTATCCCACTGTGGTGATTGGCCTGTTGCTTAGTAATCAGTACTAGTGATATGTAAATAAAATGATTGGTTCTATATCTTAACATGCTGAAAAAGTTATTTTATTATGAAAACTAAATATTTTTGTTTAGATGCAAAAAAACTGAAGGTATAACAAATGAAAACCGGAAAAACGCAGACAAAAATTTGCCAGAAATACTGGTTTCCAGGTATTTAAAAAGCATCTTGGTAATAGGTTCATTCCCATTTAGTGACTGTTGCCTCCTTCACTGCTGAACCCATTTGCCCAACTTGAATATCACCAGCTTATAATGCTTTAGATTTGTTTTATCTTAATGCTAGTTGAATTTGTACATTCTACTCAGATTGTGAGTAGAAATTCCCTCACAAAGAAATTTTCTTTCTTCTATAGAATTCTTTGATTCTTGCATGCTAAATTCTTAGCAGATCCGTAAAATTATAATCCCTATAAAATATTACTTGAAGTTAATTTTATTCCTTTTAGATAATTTTTTTTATTTGCATTAAAAGTATCAATAGCTAGATAGGGTTTTTTGGTAAGTGATGGTACTATACTTGACTTGTATTTCAATTAGCATAGATTGAAAAGCTTAGAAAACGTGACACTATTTCTATGGGATAAATTTAAAATGTTAATATTTTATCTACTTAAATGGTCAAATACAAACTTAGAATAGAAGCTGTTTGCACACATGTCCGTAGAACATAAAAAGGATACTCAAATTCAAAAATTAACTTGTAGAAAATAATTATAAATGCATGCAAGAATTTGGGGAGGGTGAATTTGCGTATTTTCTTGGAAATGATAATGAAAGGCTATAAAATATATTAACTTTCTGAGAAGTGAAATTGTTGGAGACTAATCCAATTATATTGATGACTTTTACAAGCTGTTTTATGTAATTAAAAATACGTTTGCAGTGGTGGTACAGAGTACTTCATTTTTCTAATTATTTTCAGATTGCAAATTCAATGGTGAGCACATGGACAGGACCACCAGCTATGAAGTCACTCTTTACTAGAATGTTTTGTTGTAAAACTTGTCCAAACATTGTAAAAACAAACAACTTTATGAGCTTTCAAAGTTATTTTCTACAGAAGGTACAGTTTACTTTCAAATTTCTTATGATTGTTTTATCCCACAATCTGTATTGCTCAGTTTAATTTGGGGATTAGTCAGATAATAAGTATGTTTACTTTCTTTTATTTTTTTAAAGATTTATTTATTTGTGCATCCAAGAACTGGGGTGTAAGCCAGAGGTTAGAGGTGGGGGTGGGGGTGAAATGATCCATCAGAGAGAACAGGGAACAGAAAAGGCAGATCTGCCCAAAAACACTGCTGGGGAGTATCAGGCAAAGCAGAGAGGTCTGCTGTGCCATGTGGTTCAGCTCCCTGGCCAGTGAGGGGATGGAACTCATGCTTGCAGTGGCTGGTCATAGCTTGATAGCTGTCTTTAACTCCTGTGCCACCAGGGTGGTCTAGGTATGTTTACTTTCTTATACAAGTTTCGCCTTTATTCTTTTTGCTTCTAAACTTCCCAAAACTTTAGTGATTCTTCATTAATTTTATGAGCTTATGGAAATAACTCACTATCCCCATTAATACTAAAGTAAATAGAAATGGATATTTTTTTAAATAATATAATAGTTTATTTTTACATCATTTTGTGCATTTTTTCATCTCAGTTGTCATCCCCGTGGGCTTCCCATCACTAGATCACCCGTGTGCCATCACCATAGTGCAGTGCAAGAAATGGATAATTTAATTTTCACTTTGTTACCAAAATAGAGGTCTGTCTGAGTCCTTTTGGTGGCAGTCCTTCTGGAGTGTGGACAGCACATCTGAGTCAGAGACAGTACAGCTTACAGCTCTTGCTTCAATTTCAGCTCTGCTGTTCGCTAGCAGCTTGCACAACAGGACAGGTTTCTTCACCCTCTAAGCCTCAGTTTACTCATTTATAAAATTTATCTTTAAAATTAAGATCACATTTGTGAGGCCTTTTATACGATGTTTATCACATAATAAGTATTTTGTAAATGGTAATTTAGAGGGTGGTGTGATGTTGTTTAAGGAGAGAATGTGGCAGGGCAGTTAGCATGTGGGCAATTTTGAAATCGTTTATAAATTTGTTGAGTAATTTAATAATAATGAAAACAGATTAGATTAACTCAAGAATGAGGAGGAGGAGTGAAGTTGAAGTAAAGAAAACTGATGAGGTTTATTATTTCATGATTTTCATATGAAACATGGGAAAGAAGACACTAAACAGGGTTCAGGAAAGGACATGTTTGTTTTGTTTTGTATAGAGGGAGAAAACACATGTTTGGCACAAAGAAAGGAATTGGAGGGGAGATATAAAATACTCAACTGAGGAAAAGTAAATGTAGAAAAAGAAAGATGTAGCAAATTCTAAAGACAGTAGTGATAGGAAGGGTATAATTGGGAAGGTTAATTTTAAAATATATAAGAACATTTCTTTTTTCTGAGACAGGTGAGAGCAAATTGAAAGAAGTAGAGTGATAGCTTTGTGGGGATGTTAGGCATGTTTAGATTTATTTATGGTAGAGGGGTAAATAAGAGGATTACCAAGCACCATTGAGAAACTCAAAGACTCAGGCTTCTCTCTCCTTAGGAAAGTTGGGTATGAAGCTTTAGAAAAGGAAAGGTAGGCTGAAAATTCAGAGAATTTACTGTTTGTCATGAGACTAAGGAATGGTACTGGAGAATCTATCTTTTCAGACTGATGGCTGACTGCTGTCTGCTACATGCCTCAGGCCACTCTGTCATTTAATCCTAAAACTGACTGTGAAGAAGTTAAGCTCCTAATTAGCAAGCAGCTAAAGTCATCCAACTCAGGAGATGGTGGCGGAGGACTTGAGTATAGGTCTGCTAATTGATAGTACAACTTGCCCCTTCACCACTGTATAGCCACAAAGTCACTCTTCACTAGAATTTTTGTTGTAAAACTTGTCCAATGTTGTGAAAAAAAAAAACAACTTTATGAGCTTTCAAAGTAACTTATGAGCTTTCAAAGTTACTTTCACATTACACATACTTTCTTCTAACACATGAATACAGAGGCCCAGAGACAGGCCCCTGTGTGCATCCACTTACACAGCTTTCTTCATGGCTTCCTCCCCAACATTACCTTAGAACCTTTGGGTATGTGGGGGTAGGAATTAGGGAGTTAGACTCCAGTTAGTTACTCACTGTAACCCTTGTCTCTATTCACCTGTGTATTTTAGTAGTTACTGAGTTGATTATGTGCTTACAAAAAAATTTTTTTTTAGACAATGCCAGTTGCAATGGCTTTATTGAGAGATGTTCACAACCTTTGTCCCAAAGAAGTTTTAACTTTTATCTTAGACTTAATCAAGTATAATGACAACAGAAAAAATAAGGTAAGACACCTTTCTTTTTTTTTTAAGATTTATTTATTTATGCATACTAGGGTACAGCCCAGAGGCACAGGGGTGAGAAGATTCACCAGAGATAGAGTGGGGAGCAGACCAGGCAGATCAACTGAAATACACTGCTGTGGGGAGCAGCAGACGAGTCAGAATAGGTCTGCCAAATCATATGTGTCAGCTCCCTGGCAGGGACTCAAACTTGTGCTGCAGTGGCTGCAGATAGCTTCATAGTGCTATGTTTTAACTCACTGTGCCACCAGGGAGAGCCCCAGACACCTTTCTTAATATTATAAAACTGACCAAAGATACTTGTGTTTGTTATTTATTTGTTTATTTCTATATGCATGCATGCTTATAGAACTGAGGTATGGGCCAGAGGTGCAGGGGTGAGAGGATTCACCAGAGACAGATTAGGGAACAGAACAGGTGGATCTACTGAAAGACAAACTGCTGAGGTATCAGGGGGCACAACAGGAGAGATCTGCTGTGGGTCACCTCCCTGACTGGGAATCAAACTCCTACTGCAGTGGCCGCACATATCATCATAGAGCTGAGACTTAACCCCTTGTGCCACCAGGGAGTCCCCCAAAAATATTTATTTTAAAAATGATTTATAATAAATTCAGGAAGACCAGTTTTCCTATTTAAGTGATTTAAACTGGAAAGAATCCTTAAAAGTGCTTTAAAAGAATACATTATATATAGACATACTTTTCCTTTCCATTTTGAATATTGTTTACCTAATTTCCAGTAAAACCTTTTAATCATTGCTCTGTCTCAGATAAGGCATATGAGGGACACAGGATTCCATGGTAACTCTTGGTTGCCTTGTCATGTGTTCAACCTTTTTTAATGCGGAGCAGGGTTATCTAGACGGACCTGCTTTCGGCCATGTATTTTCTTTTATTGTTTTTGTGCCTGTGTATGATGAAGGTGAGCACAGGACAAATTCTCTAACTAAACCAAGCATTAATAAAATTTAAAAAATACAATCTAAGCATGCTATTTAGAGATATTGAAGTTGAAAAATTATGCTATTTTAGCTATAAGTTTTATAGGACAGCTGAGTTTTAGACAAGTCATAATTCAATAAAAGTATGTTGTGATATTGAAAGCATACTGGTTATTCTTCCAGTAATATCAGTGGTTTTGGATTTCCCTCCCCCCGCCCTTCCCACCCTGGGTGAATTTCTTTTCTTGCATATTCTATTCCTCCAAGTTGCTTTTTCTTCCTTTTTCTGTTCTCTTATTTATGTTGCTATTTTCCTCAAATAATCTGGTGATCCTTGCTTCTGTATTGATAAGGGATAGAAGAGCTATTTAGATTGTTGATCTGAAACTGTATTACCAGCAGAATTCATGACCATTGGTGTTCCTTATCGAGCCATCTGGCTAGATTATGAAGAGTGCCTTTCACATATGAAATATTTATTAAACTAATGTATCACTAGTTAGTGGGTCTCTTCCACTCTGTTTGCCAGTGTGTGCCTCTACACAAGGGCTGTAGTTGAATATTTACCAGAAATGTTGCTGTATTTTCAGATAACTTACGTTTTTAAGTTACACATATTAATTTTTGAATAAAACTTTTATTTTATGGTCTTATGATTATTTTTTGGCTTAGTTTTCAGATAACTATTATCGTGCAGAAATGATTGATGCCCTTGCCAACTCTGTTACGCCTGCAGTCAGTGTGAATAATGAAGTTCGAACTTTGGATAACTTAAATCCAGATGTGCGGCTCATTCTTGAAGAAATCACCAGGTTTTTGAATATGGAAAAACTTCTTCCAAGTTATAGACACACCATCACTGTCAGGTGTGATTTTGTTACTTGTTTCTCTAATTATAAAAAAGTAGAAAATCAGAAGAAGAGAAACAATTAAAATCCTAGAGAATGAACTATATTTTTTTCCCCTTGTAACTATATACATTTTAATTAGTTGGCATGTATATATCTTTTTGTCTTGGTTAAGTCATAAATACTTCATGTTATCAGAAATTCTTCATAAACATTTTTTATAACTGCATAATCTTATATCCAATTGAATTTAATGTAAACATTCTTCTATTGGCAAGCCTCTTTTAAGATTTTGGCTTTGGCTTCTATCAGCTTCTTTGTATATGATTTCTACAAAGTTCTATCTTTAGGAATTACTACCTGTTTTAGGAATTTGCTGTAAAAAGTTGATTCATTGGTTCTTTACATTAAACAGTTAACCTTTTATATACATTAGTTATTAAATATTACTAAAATGTTATTGACTATTACTAAAACTTTTAGATATTATGTTAAATATATTTACATACAGTTTGTTCATATTAGGGTACCTAACAATAAATTTCCAAACATATTTTAAAATTCAGTTATTAAAATAGATTTTAGATGCCTTTAATTATTAAGGTCATTGCAAACATTTACTATTTTAAAATTAAAAGGTAGATTCAAACCACATCAGTTTCTCAATTCTATTTCGAATGCCTGGGAAATAAGCTTGATTTGAAATATTTTTAAAAGTATTTAAATACTTTTTCCTAGTTGTTTGAGAGCTATCCGAGTACTTCAGAAGAATGGACATGTGCCAAGTGATCCAGCTCTTTTTAAATCTTATGCTGAATATGGCCACTTCGTGGATATTAGGATAGCAGCTTTGGAAGCTGTTGTCGATTATACTAAAGGTAATGCTTTGAAATAGATATTCATTGTCATTTTAGAAAGCAATGTTTACTATTTAAAATCAGTGGTAGAGCCTCCCTGCTAGCCTGGTGTTAAGTGGTAGTGCCATCACTGTGAGGGCCTACCACAGAAACAGTCTAATGGTAGAAATCATGAATTTTAGGTAAGTAAATAAGTGTCCTAACAAGAAAAAAGTGTTCTACTTTTGCTTTGACTGTCATTCTTAATTCTAGAAATCTTGAGATTGATCAATTATACCAATATTCCTCACCTTCTTTCCCAAAGTCTATGAAAAATGAAAATTCTGTGCATTAATTTATCTGAAATAAAATATGCTGCTAATGTGTTTTGCAAAAGAATTGTAAACTATAAAAAATATGATTTAATTGATAGGGTTTAACTGTGATTAGAGGTGAGACCATTGGAAAATGGGAATCTTAGAAATAAAATTCTGAGACTAGCACTTTTCAAACCACAAAACAAGTCTTGTTGAAAAGATGAATGGAAATAACTAATGAGTCATTTTGTTGAAGTCAGTTATATGGTTAACACTATTTTTTAATGCCTTCTATGCTATGTTATAAAATTAAGGCTGCTCTTAGCTTTAAAACAACTACTTGGGCAAAAACAACTTATCATGCTATTTAGTCCAAGTGAGATACCATTGGGGTATCATATCTGTCTACTCTTTGAGTATTTAGAAATATTGTTTTATTTGAACATATTTTGCCAATTTAGAGTTATCATTTCTAATTTAGGCCTCTTAACTATAATTTACTTTATATTTGCCATTGATTTGTTTGAAATCAGCTTAAGTGAAGATCATGCACTTGATTGTGTTTATCTCATAGCACTTGTAAAAGTTGGAGAATGTTCTATTGCATAAAAAATGTAAGAGGTTACCAACAGCCTTCAACACCAATTGGAAATCGAGCTCAGGCAGAGTCCTGAAATATTATAGTAAACTCTTTGTCGTTGTTACTCAGTTTGTTGTAATTAACAATAAATATATTAATTTTTTTCCAGTGGACAGGAGTTACGAAGAATTACAATGGCTACTTAATATGATTCAGAATGACCCTGTGCCCTATGTAAGGTTAGTTTTTCTGCTATAATATTTTGTTTTTGTAAATTCTAAATTGGATAATTTCAGAAGATTATACATAGACCATTCCTTTTTACGATTTTAAATTCAGGAAATTGTTATATATTACTTCATATCCTTTTTTATTTGATTTGCCTTTGGAAAGACATCTTTAAGGATATCTTGTTAATAAGAAGTTTATTCCCTATAATTTTAAGTATGATGTCTACTGTAACTTAAAGAAAAGCTTATGTAATCATTTATAGTGCACATGGAATATCACTTGTACATCCAAACCCTTAAAATCTCTTTTGGTTGAATCTCTGTAAGCATTAACACTCTAATGATGTAAGCTTTCTTACACAGACCATTACTATTTTAGAATACTTTGTTTTAGATGACCTGTACTATGGCCCGGAAATGTTAACTTTTTAACAAGACCCATGACCAAACTTAACTAATTACTTCTGTCTACTCAGTCACTTGTACAACCTATGTTTTTTTCTCTTAGTTTGAGCAAAATCTTTTCATTTTGTCACTTATTTTTTTAGTATACTGTTTTAAATTATATATTCATTCATTGTCCTCAAGGGACAAACTTATAGCAGATGCTTTTTCTTTGAGAGAGTGATTCCATTTCTTATAGCTAGTGATTGGCAAAGGAAGTACACTAGTCCACCAAGACAATTTTCAATTATTTAGGGAAGAAATAGGATGTTTTTGCTGCTGTGAACATGATAAAAACAACAACAACGAAACAGTGAGTTTCTCAAGATGTGCTTCAGGCCTTTTCCAGATGTCTGAAACATATGCTTTTTGTTAATTGGTGTTTCATCTCTGAAAACTTAAACATAAGATTCTCGTTGTCTTCCTTTAAACATTATCTTCTTTGAGTATTGTTTTGAATGCTTAGTCATTTATATTTCCTTGTAAAAGCCTTTCTTCTATACTATAAACTTTAAAGAAAAGCTTTCAAAGAAATGTTTTATTTGCTAAATGTGACACATGTACTAATCAATTTTACTCTTTTAGTGATCATTTCAAAGCTATCCCCAGAGCACCCTGTACAATTCATTGGCATGACTGTAAAGGTTTTGTAATGAGCTGAGTAAAAACTATAAAGTTTTATTAGTTAGGCTGTACCGCTTCAGTACTAGGGAAATTGGAAAAACAGCCAGATACAAACTTTTCTTCTTCATGTAAATTAAAATTAAGACAATATCAACATGCTCTAAAGAGCAAACTCATCTATATTTTAAAAGGTGTTATTTACCTATATTATTGATTGACTATAATGAATATATTATGAGTTCTTTTAAGGACAGAAATTGTGTTTATCCCTAAAACTAGCACATCTGTCATGTTATCTATCTATAAATTGCCTCTATAACCACATTTCACTTTTTGTTCTTATACTATTTTAGTAATCTTCCATGTAGTCTTAAAATTTCAAAGCACATATTAACAATGAGAATCTACATCGTTCAGTTTGATAGAGTTGAAATTGAAGCCAAAAGGGATTAAATTCCTTAGCCATCCCTAAGTTACACACTAAGTTTCTTTCTTCCTTGGTTTCATCCAAGCATTCCACTACTCTGAAGTCTCAGATTTCTCACACCTAGTCGGGCCTTGTTTTTTCCCTTTTATTTCTACTTTCCTTTTTCTGTCCTTTTGTTGTGATGCCTCCTACTCATTGCATAGCATTGGTTGTTGGGTTTTTATTTTGTTTTGATCTCATTGCTCTGTTTTGCAGAAGATTCCATTAAGTGTTCAGATTGACTCTCATTTAAGATAAAAATTTCTGCTGGCAGAATTTAACTATTACCCTATTGACTTTTCTCACTTCTGCTTACTTTGAAGAGACTACTTTGCAATCCTCCATATTTAAAATGTTTCTATTCATTACCATTCTTTACAAAGATATTATAATAATGTTTATATTCATTTTGTTATCTCAAAAGTCGACTCCTTTTTGGCCTTTCTGTGCTTTCTGTTTTGCTCTCTTTTAAGAACTTTTTATTAACTGACCAGTGTTTGTAAATTTTTCTAAGAAGGAGAAGAATATTTTAGAAGTAGAATATGAAAGGTGGGTTAAGAGTCATGGAGTCCGGTTTGGAAGCCTTCTTTGTATGCTAAGTCAATTTTAGAAAGAACAAACCCACCAGGAATTCATTTAATATTCAGGATGTACCATTTTGTCTTTTGAAATGAAACTAAAACACAAAGCTAAAGCTATGAAGGGAGATTTTGATCAAATAGCAACAAGGAGCTACAGATCTTGAAAATGTTCAGATGTTTTTATTTAATATCAATTTTTTTTAATCTTTCAGACATAAGATTCTAAATATGTTGACTAAGAACCCACCATTTACTAAGAATATGGAGTCTCCTTTATGCAATGAAGCCCTGGTAGATCAACTTTGGAAACTTATGAATTCTGGTAAGATAGTGGCTTTAAAAAAAAACGTCACTGTTGGGAGTATTTTGTATAACAGGATTTTTTTACCTAGAGAGTTGAGGTTAATTTTTCAAAGTAATATGCTTAGGACAGCGACTTTGGCAGAGATAAATGTCATAACATTGTGAAGAATATACTCACTCACTTTGTCCCACAGTTGAAGAAACAAAAATTATAATTTATGTGTGTGTTTAAAGAGCAATAAATATGAACCTTGGAAATGTTTTGGTTTCAAAGTTTACAGAGGGTTAAAAATTTGTCTTCTCACCTTTCACCTAGTTGCTTAGTGCCATTTCCAGAGGCAGCTAGCTTCATGCCATTGTTACACTCCTTGGAGATCATGGTGTCTCATCACTGTTGTAATTTCCAGCATTGAATGAAATCAAGAGGCAGGATAACTCAGTGCTTGAGAGTGCTGGTTTTGGAACCAATTTGCTAAGAGTCAAGTCTCAGTTCAATTTTTACCATCTCTATGACTTATATAAGTCTTTGATTTTTTTTTTTATTTAACAACTGGAGGTAAGAGTGATACCAGCTTCAGTACACTACAGATTAAATCACTTAAATTTTAAAGCAGTGTCTAGTTCATATTAAGTGCTCAAAAATGTTCTTATTATCACATTAAGTACTATGCTTCTCACATTTAGACTGTAGTTCCATTTTTGTACATGGTAATCTTTGCTATTTTTTAAATCGAAACATTGGCCTTTTCCTAATGATTTATAAATGTATATATTTAAATATCACAGTGCAGTACTGCCAAGTAGAGGTACCAGGTGCTATTTCATTGAAATTTAATAAGATTGAAAATATTATGACCTTTCTTTATCTTCATAGTATATTGAAAACAACACAGTCAATTTTTCTAATGTTTTCCTTAATCCGTAGAATGATCGCTGCTGCAAGACTTATTTTTTTTTCTGCTTGTTACCTTAAATGATGTTATGACAGTTATTTAGATTTAGAATATGAACATACAAGTCCAAGAACTTGTAAATGGTCATCCAACAATTAGTTAATCTGTGGCATGAACTCTATTGTGTTGACTGTATTCTCAAAAAGAATGCTTGATTTCATGAGTGTGATGGTGCACACTTTGAGGAAAGCATAATGAAATACAAAGAATTCTCTCATTACCTTTCACAGAAGATTTCTTAGTCAAAATCAGTGCTTTTAAGATTAATGGGACAATTTCTATTTCTATAAAACATTTGAAATCCATTGTAAGGTTGTGGTCATACAAGTCAAAGCTGCGATCAGTGTTTAATATTTAATTTTGATAGTGTTCAATACGAAGTTGCTGCTTTGGTTTGGAATCCTCTGTGCTAGTAATCTAAACAAAGGAGATCAGTAAGGCAGAAGCAGTTTCTTACTCACTTCTTCAAATTTTTAAATAAATAGAGCAATATGAATAGTGGGAACAGCATGAATAATTAGGAGGACTTGTTATGTTCTTTAATGTTTTTGGAGAACATTTGGACATTAGACCTACATCTCAAATAGAATTGATGACAGTTGTTTCACAGCATTTTAGCATAAAAATAGTGTAGCACAATGTAGTACATAGTATGAACTCTGTGAAAGTATAATTCCTCCTATTATGGATTTTCTTAACTAGGGGTTTGTACCTTTACCCTTCCAAGCCTGAACCCCTAGGATACATGAATGATTCTGATCTAGTAAGCCCCTTTCTTTTTTAACTGGTAAAGGGTTTCTTTTTCATGTATGTAAAATTATGTTATGTAATAGGGCTTATCTGCAAAAAATAACAAAAAGGAAGATATTTACATAATTCCACTACATCACTACCATTAAGATTTGGGTATATTTGGCCTTTAAGAGAATAAAAATGGTAATGTGTATGATAGGTAGTTGTAGTTGTCAAGATTTTAAAATAGCGTTTGATCGTGAAAATGTTTTCATTACTATATTATCTTACAATAATTATTTTTTTAAGAAATGGTAATGAGAACTCACCTATACCAAAAGTTGTGAGCTTACACATCCTTGTTTCTGCTGAACTCTGCCTGCTTCTCAGTCCTTGTTGGGGTTCTTGGATTATCAGGTCAATTTGATTTCCATATGGAGAACAAATAAATTTTGACCAATGTGGATTTATTTACATGTAGTCTGTCCTATTCCAAGTGGATTTGAGATAATTATAAAATTTGTTGGACTCATTTAAAATATATAGGGAGGGTTTCACTGAAGTTAAGAAAGCATCATCTATCATCTTGGAGGCCTCCCTAGTCATGGCAAGGGGTTAAGTCTCAGTAATGTCAAGTTGTAGGCAGCCACTGTTTGATGAGTTCGATTCCCATCCAGGAATCTGACCCACATGGCACAGCAGACCTCTCCTAACCCACCCACTACTCCCCTCAGCAGTGTATTTCATTAGTGTACCTGTTCTGCTCCCTACTTTGTCTCTGGTATCTCATCCCCTGTCTCTGGCCTAAACCCCAGCTCTTGTATGCATAAATAAATTGTAAAAAGAAAGAAAGGAAACACCATCTTCTGCGATGCTCATCAGATACTTTTGAAGAATCAAAGGTTGTTTGCTTGCCTGGTTTTAGAGACTTTTTAGTAAGAGAGTAATTATGGTAAGATGCATAGAAACAAATATGCTTATTTCAGAGAAGGAAATGAGTTTCCATTGTAAACTCCTTAATTTCATTCTGTACTGTCTTCCCACTTCTAATTCCTCTATAATTTTTACAACATAAAAATTTCATCCTCATCAGAACCTTCTGCCTTGCTTCTGTGAGATATTCTGTTACCTTACCATATAGTAGCAAAACTGAAAATATCTCAGATAGGATTGATAACAGTTGTTTCACAGCTTTGTAGCATAAAAACAATGTAACACAATGTAGTACATAGTATGTATTCTGTAAAAGTATAATTCCTCCTAGTATGTATTATCTTGACATATAATAAATACAGTACTCACTTATATGTTACAGTAAACTTTAGCAAAGCCCCTACTTGATTATAATTTATTTACTTTAATATTTGTTGCTGAAAACCATAAAACTTGATTATTTATGCTCTCCAAAGTTGCTATAGCAGCTTTTTCTTTTTTTGGTTCTCCTTTTTAAACATTATGGTATGCTTTTAAAACCAGAGGAATTGTCATACTCCTATTTTCACTTGTTTTAAGTTACCTAGTTCTTTTTAAATTCTGCCTAGAAACCACAGAGATGAGTCCTACATTGCAGATATCATCAGGCCAGCTCTATTTCATAGCAATATCTCCCTGGAGTCCTCTACTGAGGACAGAATGGAAAGTGGGAAGGAACTCTGGCCTGTCATTGTTATGGGATGTAGAGTAATCTGAAACTAGATCTTCCTTAGAGATGAAAAATTTGAAACTCATCAGAGAAATTGAAAGAACTTACCTCCAATCTTTAACAACTTCTAAACTTTTCTACCCAGTCATCTTCAGATCAAGTATACTTTTCACTAGCTATTGCCGTCTCTGAGAGTTGCTTATTAAAAAAAAACAGTACTTATCTAGGAGAAGAGTGCAAGTAAAAAAGTGTTTCACAAAATATTTGCCTGTATAAAAGTTTGTTTTGAATTGTGTTATTGCAAGTAGTGGTAGGGTTTCTTAACCATACTTAAAACCTGGAAGAAATAAATTCAGGTTAGGAGAATTTGTTTCAAGTGGTAGGCTTTGTGAGGTTCTTTGTGCTGTCATCCCAGCGTACTGTTGAGGGTAAGAAAGTCAAGCAAGGTGAATAGAGAGAGAATGGATGGATGTGGAGCAGTTACTAAGGAGGAAGAATTAAAAGGGACATTTAAAGCCAGCCATTTTTGGAATATTCGATTTTTAATGGACATCTGATGCTTTGTAAGGAGAACGGTGCAATACTAATAAATATTCATTAGCATTTATTTCTGCAACAATTTCTGTATTAAGAAACAATAATATTTAGGATAGACATCTTTATGTGTCCTTGTACTTTACAGGTTCTAGAATAGCTTAAAATATCTCAATAAATGCACATATTGATTTTTATTTCATTATTACTCACTTTTTAGGTACTTCACATGATTGGAGGCTACGGTGTGGTGCTGTGGACTTATACTTCACCCTTTTTGGCCTCAGTAGACCTTCCTGCTTACCCTTGCCAGAACTTGGTTTGGTTCTTAACCTGAAGGAGAAAAAAGCTGTTTTGAATCCTACTATAATTCCAGAAGTCATAGCAGGCAATCAGGAAGCTGCGATGAATCCAAGCAGTCATGCACAGCTAGTTGGATTTCAGAACCCTGTAAGAATCTCGTGTGTTACCAAAGTGTGACATGTTATATGACGTGTTGGAAAGCTTCATCTTGAGATGATGATTATGTTCTTTGAACTGGCAGATTTTAAAGCCACTGTCTCTGGCACTATTTTAAAAGCTGCTGACTGACATTTAGCACTTAAAAGTGCTACTCACTTTACATAACTATACATAACAAATAATGTGCTGCCAGGCCATTTACTCTCTTCTGAGAATTTTTTGTACTTGAACATAGAATTTCTTTGAGTAGTAGAAAATTTAAATGAATATTTAACTTATTACATATTAACTTGTCCATGTATGTTAATGGTGAACTGAACACAAGGACTCTGCCCTTCCCCCTTTCCCCCCATTACCCTCCTCCCCCACCCCCACGACTGCCCCCTATAGTTAACAAATTCATGCAATTCTCAACATATAAATGCCTGGCAAATGCTTGTTGATTTCAGTTAATTGATCAATATCAATCAGTGGTCTGGTAAATGAATGTACTAATTTGGGAGGGGATTATGCATTAAATTTAAAAAAATTATATATAATGTGTATGTGTTTGGCTTTACGAAACTCAGTACATATCAGCTATTATAAAATTACCAGATATTTTTTATAGAAAAACATTTAAGATACATATTAATCATCTCACAATAATTTAAAGAAGGTTTTCTAGAAATTATTTTATTTCTGATGATAAAATGTCCCCCAATACCTCAAGCTTCATTTTTCACCAGTATTTAGACCAGATTACTTGCCTGGCAATTCCCTACTGGTGTGTTAAAACTCTAAAACTGATTCTCTCTGTACTAGTTAGTAGTATTTATCTAAAGTTACTAGATTTTCCCTAGATTTAAAAAAATACAGCAATATTCATTTGTTCTAAATTTATTAAATTTATTAAAATTTATCCTTGAGTTTGGATTATGAAGAAGGAAGTTCGCATAGGAAAGAGTCTCTGTAAAGAACTCTTTCATATCTGAAAGACATGAAAAATATGTGGAAATGACTTTATAATTCTTGCACATATATGTTAATTCCATATTTACATTTGAAATCTTCAGAATTAGAAGAAAAAATTACCCCCAAAGACATACTCTTTTGGAGAAGCTCCAAAAGTTTGCTTAAATGCCTCCTTCCTCCTAAAAAAATCAGTAGACAGATGAAAGTGAAATTTATTTTAAGCCCATTGCTGATAACATTTAAGCACTGGGCATGCTGTAATCTGCATGGTTGCTGTAGCTATTTGTTTTCAACTACCATATGAGCTACTTGTCCTCAGAAATCTAATTTTGATCTTGAATATTGCCGCAGGAAGATGATCATCTTGCCAAGGAAGCATCATGTAATATATCAGCTCATCAGCAGGGAGTGAAGAGGAAGGCTGATACACCTCTGGGGTCCCCACTAGAACCTGGTCAAATACTGGAGAAGAATGAGGATAGCAGTAAAGTCAAACTCAAAATCAGAGTAAGAAATACAGGTTAAACCTGTATTACCAGTGTAGGATATATACCTTTTCATAAATCTTTTTGAGTACTTGAAATGGTTTTTCCTTAGCAGGAACACATGGGATAGACTGAATTATTATAAAAGAGCCCAAATGTCCTTCTAACACATTCCACATTCCAGTCAACTATTTAACTTCCATTATCACGTAATTCTCTCTTTGGGGAAGGAACTATGTGCACAATCTACCACAGCTCACTACTTCTTCCCACAACATAAGAATAGATTTTAGTTGCTATTTTATTTCTAGTAATTTCTAATCCGCTTCTTTTGGAGGCTGAATACATAATCTTTTCTTTCTCATAATGCTTTATGAGAAAAAGATTAATTTTCCTGTAAGATTATTTGGGGTACATCCTGTGGTTTCTCGGTTGCTTTCCTAAGAGCTGAGATCCAAACATAGTGTGATCTCATGGCCCTTTTTTCCTTTCTTTTGTGTATGTGCATTTTAGTTTTCAAATTCCCAAGATGAGGAGGAGATTGATATGGATACTGTCCATGATAGCCAGGCATTCATTTCTCATCATTTGAATATGCTTGAAAGGCCATCAACTCCAGGTATGATTAGTGTACTTCTCTCACTGGGGCCTGGGGAGACTTCATGTGTATTACTGTTTTGTGTTGCTTTATTTTCAACTGAACTGTTATAAAGGTCAAAAATAACTAGCATGGGAAAAATGCCTGTTCTCAGGAAAATGCTTTCTTTCTCCTTTTCTTTGAGCCCCACCCCAGTGAGGGAGAACTGTGGTTAGGTTTTGTAGCTTTGTTTTTGAACTGTTGAACTATATAGCTTATCAGCATAGCAAGTATGGTAAAGAATGGATGTGACTCAAATCAAAATGCCTAATCCAAGTGAACGAGGATGAAAGACATCTACTTTTATAAATGTTGCCATAAGCCAAGTTATCTTGCAGCTACCTGCTTCATCCACATCACTACTGCTTTCACCAATGGTTGACTAACACTGAGGTGCTGCTAGCCACCATAGAGTGCCCCATTCTTGTTATGAGCATCACAATGAACTCCCCTGTGTGTTAAAGTAGTCAGTATCCTAGAGATGATGAAGTATGTTACTAATGCAGTCTTTTAACAGATTTTTATGAATATATCTCTTGAATATGACTTTCATTTTTTTCTGGATAATTCTCACTTTTGAATGAGTTTTTTTTTTCCCCTTTCTTGACATTTTCCATTTGTCCACATTTGTCCATATGTCCCTTATTCACTATGGTCTGCTTTTTGTTTGTTTGACTTTTGCTTTTATTAGTCGAGCCCTAAATTTTTTTCACTAGTATCTAATAATCTCAGATGGCTTCAGGTAGAATACAAGCCAAATATATATTTGAAAACTGATAGGTCATAGTTCTTTGTTTTTTTATAATTCTAAGGAATCTTAACAATCTATTCATTACTGTTAACTAAATTTAAACACTAATATTAAATGACTTACCTTAGGCCCTCCCTGATGGCCAGTGGGTTAAAGCGCTGCACTGCAAGCTAGCTGCAGACACTTCAGTGTGAATTTGATTCCCTGCCCCCAGGTGATCCACATGTAGCAGACTTCTCATGACCTGCTGTTGCTTCCCTCAACAGTGCCTTGATTTGCCTGTTCTGCTCCCTCCTGTCTCTAGTGAATCCTTTCACCATCCCTGTGCCTCTGGCCTGCACCCCAGTTTTGTATGAATAAATCAATAAACCTAAAAAAAGACTTACTTTAGATGACATAATCAAGTAATAGCCACCTCAGAATTAGACTCAAGTCTCAGAACTTTGCCATATGACAGGTGATGGAATTGAGATAGGAGAATGGCCTCATTATATATCTAATTTGTTGATAATTTAGAATCGGAACCTGGGATCTCTTGATACCTGCTTTAGCACTGTTCACATTATAGCATTAAAACATTTCTTATTTTAAGTATCTCCAATAATCCCTGAATTGTTTTCATATATTTGTTGTGTAAATAGCATTATGAAATTTACCAGCAAACTTTGGGGAAGTGAGCAAACTTTAGTACGTACAGAGTACTATATAAATAAAAATTAGTGCATGTTTTCTGCCCCAGAATACAGCATCCAAGAAATTGTGTTTAGCAGAAACACAGAAATTGGATGCTGTATTCTTGCCCTTAGATTTAGGCATATATTACCATGACAAAGGATTAAATAAAATAGGATCTTAAGTACTTTTAAAAGTAGCATTCATTGTATTATAATTTGACTAGTTGAACTACTTCTGTGTTTTAGTTAGTTTTTTAAACCTGTCAAGCTGTTTTCTTTTGGGGAACAAAAAGAATGAATTCCTGTTTTTCCTTGTTGGCATTTTAGGTCTTTCAAAATATCGGCCAACTAGTTCCCGATCTGCTTTGATACCTCAGCATGCAGTAGGCTGTGATGGCATACCTACTACAAAGCCCCAGTGGACTATGGAACTTGCACGGAAGGGAACAGGTAATAGTATTATCATTATTTTGCTCAAGAACATATCTATAAACTTCATTAAGTTTCATCAGCTGTAAAGATCTAAGGACTTAAATTTTTCTTGCAATGGATTGGCTTTGTTTTATCTAACATAAAGCTTATTGTGAGCAGACATTTTGCTACTTCAAGAGTAACCTATTCTTGCTCCTATTCTAGAGACTTGAAAGTAATGAAAAAGTAGAAAGGTGGGAGGGGAAAATCATCTCACATTATGTCACCCAGGATGCACATTTTATTAGCATTTTGTTCTTTCCTTGCAGTGTTGTTTTATATATGAAATTATATATGGAAAACACCAACTTCAGTAGAACTACCAAATCTGTGCCTATCTTTGTAAAATAGAAAAATAAACTATTTTTCCCTTTTCCCTTCTCACAAAAGATTTATAATTGATCATTCTTGAAAAAGTGATGTTCCACTTAGTAACTAATACATTCTGAGAAGTCTCCTCAGTTACTTTGGACTAATTGGGCTTACATTTATGAAAGGTAATTCAGTTCAGGTGTGTGTGTTACCTATTCTACTATTTCACATTGTCTTCTGATTACTATATTCTTCTGTTGCTTACAAAAGAGATGATAACCCAAATAATAACATTTGAAGTGATGAACTACCATGAAACAAAGATTCAGCCTTCAAGTTTTGGAGGAACAGGGTTTTGAAAAGCAACATATGTGAACAAAATAATTTCTAAAGAGTAGCTTTTCCAAAAGTCATTAGACTGAAATTCCAACTGGTTAGAGGTTGCTTGAATAAACCATGTCTTGTTTTTTAATATAAACAAGGCTGTGTATTGATTTGAGGAGCTTAGAGATCAACAGTGATTAATGGAAGACTACAAACAAAAGCAGCACCTCAAGATATTTGGGTATTGAGATCCCAGCCTGTTGGTTGCTTATAATACCTCTGGGGGCTCTGTGTGTCTTCTGTAGTAGACTCACATAAAATCTATTTCAGCAGAAAGTCAATTGAAGACTTCCAACATTTTGATAAGTGAATTTTGGCTTTTCTTGGCTCTGACTGGTTTTGGTTTTTGCAGTAATTTTGCTTTATTTTACTTAAACTTTTAGTAGCTTAGAGGGTTCCAGAGTGATGTTCCTGCCTGCCTTCACACCTTTAAAAATTTCCCAAACTAACTAACAAATATACTTTTAACTTCAACCATCTATGCAGAATAGAAGAGTAAAACGTAACACTGGGGTCAGCAGCATTTCTAAGAAAGGCACACTCAGAGTTCCATCTTTTGGAAAATCAGAGCACTTTAACCAGGTAAAATTGGTAGTGAAAACAGGAGGTTCCTCTCTCGCTGCTTCCCTGCAGTTGCCAGAAATCTGTGTCCTCCTGATAGCTAACTTGGCTTGGAATTGAGAGTTGGGGTTAAGAGAAGACATAGAAGAGAAGCTAGGGCCTCGTTAAGCTTCTAGGAATTCTGCAGGAAAGTTCATGATGGGCTTTATTTTTGTGCTTTATTTTTGTTCCTTATTGAGTTGCTAGAGAGGCATCTTTAATTTTGTCATGTAAGTCTTCAAAAATGTTTTAAGTAGTTGACTAAATGTAAAAATGCAGATTTCTAGCTTTTTTGGAAAAAGAGTTAGCTGAGAGCCACTCTAAGGCAGGTTATGCTTTCCATGTCCTCGATCCCTCTGTTGTATACCAGTCTGCTTGCTCCCTTTCACTGGCTTTTGGTTTGAGGTCCTGAGCCCTCTCCTCATGAGCAGAGACAAAGTTTTAGTTGATTCTCTTAGAGTCAACTAAAGTGTAAGACTGGTCATGGTTTAGTTTTGCCACAATTCCCTCCCCCTGACCTCCCCACCTCCCTTTTCCTCCCCACCTCCCTACCCCCCATTTTCTCTTTACATGCATATGATAGAAGAATATTTTAGGGTAGAAGTGACATGTGGATGATACATTAAGAAAGGAACATTGGCTGGAATATTTTTCATCATTACTTTACTACTTCCTGTCTCCTAATGTAAGGAAGGGACTAGGGAGAAAGAGCGTGCGGGAGTGTGGAAACAGAAAAAGGGCTCCCATGGTGATAGGGCTGGGTTTGTCATGTCGTGTCCTCTGCACCCCTATGACTCCTGTCCAGCCCTGCAAAGGCTGCAGGAGTTGTGGTGATAAAGCAGCAGGAGGGTGACAAGAGTGAGGAGCAGAGGGAAATCCCTAGTGGTTTCTGCGAGGAGAGTTCCTGCAATATTGTGTAATATTCTTGCATAAGTCAGAAAAGCACTATTGTGGAGCATAAAATCCTTTAAAACAAAACAAAAAAAAAAAGCCCCGAGAATGCCAGAGATGTTTCTATTGAAATTAATATGAAAAACAGACCTTGATTTTTTTTTTATTTTGATATAATACTGCACTTTATTTTTTCACAGTGCTCTAAAGGATCCAAAATACAGATGGTACCTTTCCAATTGAAACAAAATTTTATGTTAAAATTTAAACATATACATAATTTAAATGAATTTAATGGAATGGAATAAGCAGATTACATGGTGTTAACTACTTTTATCAGATAGACTGAAAGACTTTCACTTAGACTTCTGTTAAGTATGTCTGTTTGTTTTGCATTTCTTAAACTGACCACAGGTAAATTCCTATCCATAGTATATTTATTACAACTCCAGGAAAGTTTTTAATATTGGTGGGAACAACAAAGCAGAACATCTGTTTTGTCTTTTTCATATAACATGCCGTAGGAAGATTATGATGTTGTGAGTTATATTCATCTCCTTTTTCTGGTTGTCCTGTTGTTTACAACAAGACATACATTTCGGGTCACTATAAAGACTTTCATTAGCTTAAAATTGAGTGGTGCCTAACCATAAGCAGGCCTCAAGTTCCCTGGCACTTTGTAAACTTTTGAAATGGTATGTGAAATTATCTAAGTGTCTGTGTCAGATGGGTGGTAATATTTTCATTTTTCTCAGTAGGGTATGTCAATCACCTCACAATACTAACTGAAAATAAATTCACTCATGTGTCCCTCATCGATATGGAAGAAGACTACATTTTTTAATCACTTTGGATTAGACCTGGTAAAAATTATTCAGGAAAGATAGAAAATAAGCAAATAAAAAATATTTATTGTCTAAGATAAAAACTTAGGGGCAAAGGGTTGTTGGTGATGATAGAGTAACATTAGGTTTTATCAGATGTTATGTTATTATAAATAGTATTCTAACAAATATTTATATGTAATATATGTCTTTGTACATGTATATAAATAGAAGCTTTTAGAAAACTACTTTCTAAATCAAAGAATATGAGTATTTTGCATTTTTATATATAGTGCCAAATTGACTTTTTGAAAAAGACTGCATTATGGAAACTATAAAGTCGGCACAAGCTAGCGTTGTGGATACCTACCTGACCATTAAGTCATCCTCAACAGTGATCAGATCATGGTCAGTCTTGTTTAATCTGTCCACTAACCTATCCCCACTCTTCTGAGTTATTTTGAAACAAATCCTATATAATTTTATTTATAAATAATGTAGTGTGCAGCTCTCTATTGTGTTTTAAAAAATTGTAACCACAAGTAATATTTTATACTTGTAAAGTAATTAAAGTTTTTCAAATCATTAACTATCCAGTCACTATTTCAATTTTAGTTGGCTCATAAATGCCATTATTGTAATTTTGAGCAATATATTTGAATCAGCGTCCATACAAGGACTTCACATTGTAATGGACATATATCCTCTGTGTTCTTTTTCAAGTTTCCAGTCCATCTTTTTTTCTTTTTTCCCCCCTCCACAATGTCTATTAAAGGAACCAGGTTTTGTTTCTAGTTTTAAGGCCTGTATTTTGCTAATGGAATATCTGTGGTAAACTTAACATGTTAGAGTCCTCTATTTCCCACAGCTCTGTAGTAGTATGTAGAAACTTAATTAGATTCAGATTTATAAGCAGTGGCAGGTCCTTCTACTGAAAGCAGTGTCTGGTTGACTCCTTTTATGAGGTTAACCGCTAGAATGTTCAAGACCTAGATCCATTAATTCATGAAGGGGCTGCAAGATGGTGATATTCATCTTTCCACTTTATTTATAAACTGGATTAAAAACTAAATCTCTTCTCCCCCCCCCCCCCGCCCCATTTACTGGTATCCAATGTTAGAGATCATACAGGGAAAGAAAGATGATTTTCTTTATTAAGAATTCACAAAACAGTAAGTTGGCTAATTAGCATCCTCCAGTGGTGATCAATCAGTTCTAGTCTATTACAATTAATATCTGTATCAGTATTCAAGTTGTCCCATCTTGGGACAGCAAGAACTTAAGTGGATACTTGAGTCCATTTGAGGAGACTCTAGCTTCCTTACTGTAATGCCAAATGTTTATGTTCATCTTATAACTATTCTGTCTATACCTGGAATCAACTATTTGTACTAATACTATTATCCTTGGAACTAGCTGATGTATTGTCTTAATAGTCTTCGTGCAAATCAAGAAAAATGTAAGATTTAGAATATCTTTAAGATATTCAGTATATCTTTAATGTAAGGTGCAAGGCCACTAGACAAGAGGTTGGATTTACTTTATCAATGGTTATAAGTATTCCTTTGAAGAGAATACTCCAAAGTACACTCATTTGTTCACTTGGCAGTTACTTTTGTTGATAAGTACATGTGTTTCCAATATAGTTATTGGCCTTTCTGCAAGCCAAGTAGTTTGGCAGGTGTTTAATATTAGATGATGAACTTTCTCTCTGTGAAGAAAAGGACTTCAAATTTCTAAAACAGTCTCAGACAATCAATTGGAAAGCCAGTCTTCTGATATAGACTGAAGAAATAATGAGTTGGGGCTGAAGGATTGTTCTTGATGCTGTAGTCTCATTATTTCTCATCACCTGGCTATGTATTCTGTTAGGAATGGACCTATTTTCCCATACTTACAAAATTGGAGTCATATCATATAATTAATTTAAAATCTAAATCAAAATCATATAGTGGCATATTTGACTAATACTGTAAGTTAGGTCTAGCAAAAGTTTTCTCTTTCTGAAGAGTATCTGGACACTAATAATTACAAAAGGTGCCAGACACAAAATTTATGTAGTTTAACTTTTACATTATCAGTGTTGACTTAACAAAAAGTCATGAATTTGAAATATGTGATTCTTACTGAAGAGAAGTATGAATAATATGTGAAGACAGGAACTTTACTAATTTGTTCATTTGTTCTAGAATGTTGGAATGAGACTAACACAATGGAAGTATTACTCAATCAAAACCTCTCGAATGAGTGATCCATAATAACTTGTGTTTTACCTTCAAAACATTGACCTTCAAATTGAATTTAATTGGATTAAGTTCACCTGTCATGCATTTCTCTTGTATTCATTTGTTTAGCACAGTTCAGCAAAGATGGGGTGGTGGGAGTGTGTGTGGTGAGTGAAAGACTATGATACGCCAGAATACAGAGATGAACAAAATGAACTCCCTGCTCTCAAAAAGCTTTCTCTCATGAGGAGACCCAGAGATGTGTGAGAGGATGCCCTGGCTGCGTGCAGGTGGACAGGGCTTACTCTGAAGCCAGGCACGCCGGGTTTGTGGCTCAGATTCTCCAGGACCACCCTTGCGTTATCACTTAACTTCTCTGTGCCTAAAGTTTCTCATCTGTCTTATATTGCGTGCACATGGAAGAGTCAATGCTTTGGGGGTAGTTTAAAGATAATTTTCCAAATAAATGCCATTTGAGTTGAATTATAAACTATTAAAGAGTCTACTTTTTTTTTTCTTTCTCTTCCCTCTATGTTAGGGTACAGTTTAAATGTTCCTGGGGAAAGTTTGCTTCTGCTTCCCCCAGTTAATTTACGTCTCCTAATTTACGTCTCCTATGCTTATGTTTCAGCTCATTTTTGCTATTTTATTATACAGGAGTGCTTATTGCTTTCTTCTTTGCTAGTGTGTAAGTAAGCTCCAGAGACTGAGATGTGTCTAGTTCATCACATCTTCCCCAGCCCCTCTGTAGTTTCTGATGTTTGTTAAATGAATGTGTGAGTCAGACAAGAAGTAAGGGAAGGGCATTCCAAACATAGGAAATAGTATTTGCAAATGGTGCAGTTAGGAAAGAGCCAGCTGAGAGTGTGCAGAAAGAACAGAAAAAGGTAATGCTGGGAAAGGAAATTCAGTACAAACTGCTAAAAAAATGATTTTTGGAAAACATCTGTGATGATGCCTGTTTCATCAGAATCATGGTTAGGGCGCTGCTTTGTTCAAAACTAGCCGTGAGAAACAAAAAAGAGAAAAACCCATATTGAAGTCTATTTTAATGAAAAGCCCCTGTTTTTAAGTTAGTTTGGATAAAAAGATGTATTTTTCAGATCTGACTGCAGAAGTCCAAGGAATGTGGCTTTTATTCTGTTGGTAAAACCAAGTTTTAAGCAGATGATTACATCAGTTCTGTTTTTAGATCGCTGTGGTAGCAGGGTTTCCCCACCTGAACGTTATTGGCAATTTGGGCACCATTTGTTGAAGAGGACTGGCCTGTGTGTTATATGATGTCTGACAGCATCTGGAGCATCTCCCCTGGGACACCAGCAAGCGTCCTCCCTATACCCCACCTCCCGTTGTGACAATAAAAATATCTCCAGATGTCACTGAATAACCCAGCAAAGGGGAGGTTGTGAAACAGTGCTCTGCAGCTATGTTATAAAGTATGGATTCTAGTAAGATACTTCAGGCAAACAAAACAGTTCACAGGAGACTAGTACCATCATCTGATGAGAAGTGGTCTGAATTAATGTAGCTGGAGTGGGTATAGGCGCAGATGTCAGATACTGTCAGTGAAACTCAACAAGCTTTGATAGCTAACTGAACCTAGCAGGGAGGGCTTCTGAGGTAATTCTTAGGACCATTAACATACAGTAATTTACAAAATTAATTCTCAAGTTATGGTCCAAGAATTACAAGGTGTGGAGGAAGCAAGAAATTCTTGTACACAAGTATCTGAGAACTATTGTTATAGAAGGAAAGAACCTTCGGAGACATTTGATCCGTTTTAAGGTGAGAAAAGAAATAAAGCAGTGTCTGCTGAGTCCACTTATAGTTCACTTGCCAAAACTTGTTTTAAGTAACTATAGAGATTTGGATTTTCCCCTGATATATTCTCAGTGGCAAAGACATATGTTTGCATGTGAATAAGTAGCTTTCTAGATGGCCTAACTAAATATTGCCCTTTTTCTCTTAATACCAAGGGCAGAACTGTAGTTCAAGGGTCTATGTTTTCATTGACCTGGGTTCATAATCTTTATGAACACAGTCATTATTGTTGCTTTGGTGTACTTTAAAGTAATAAACAGTATTTTGTAGAAGCTGATTGTTAACACTGGAGTATGTCATCATTTGTACAGAGTATAACTCAAATATTCAACTTCCAGGTGCCACAATCTTGAAAACTTACCGTTTGTCCCTAATTGGATATCTTATTTAGCTACTGCCCATCTTAATGATTCCCATGGAAGTGGTAAGCACTTCGGAATCCATCTTTTCCACACTGTCATCAGCTCCCTCTTACTTTCCTTTCACTTGTCCTTCTCACCAACAGGCATTCATTTGGGTGTTTTTAATCTTGAAGGTAAAGAACAGCCCCCTCTGGAGATGAGTATGCATTCTGCTGCAGCAGCTCCGCTCTCAGTGTTTGCTAAGGAGCCCACGTCCTCCAAACACAGTGACCACCATCACCACCATCACCATGAGCACAAGAAAAAGAAGAAGAAGCACAAACACAAGCACAAGCACAAGCACAAGCATGACAGCAAAGAAAAGGACAAGGAGCCCTTCACCTTCTCCAGCCCTGCCAGCGGCAGGTCTCTGCGCTCTCCTTCTCTTTCAGACTGAGGAGGGGGCCGAGGAGACCTTTCGCTCAGTGTCCGCAAGAACATATATAACTAAGGCTTTCTTCTCAGTGAAGAATAGTGAAAGGAAAAACAAAAGAGTTACCTCTCACGGAAATTCAGAATCCTGCTAAACATTTGATTTACATTATTTATACTGTTGAGATCTAATAAGAAAAATATGCTGTATAGTTCTGAATAAACCTTTTCATCCTATTTCCTCCTGAAAACACACCCACACAGAGCTAACTTCTTTCCAACAAAGGCCTCGCATCCATTGGCAGTCCCCATCCACATCATGGGCTCCATGTGCACCGCCAAAGCCAATTATGTTTTAAAACCTTTGATGGATGTTATAGGGTGAAGTGATGTTTTAAACAGAAGCTACTGCCAAATCGGTGGTGAAGCCACTATTTCCAGTGAGATATTGAATAACACCATTTGGAACTACTGAAAAGGAACGAGGCCTTTCTAGAGGGATCTTCTCTGTTGCACTGTTTTTACTGTTAACTATTAAACTTACCATCAGAATTTATGAACAAAAATGCATGACATCTTCTTTTAGCCTGAAATACTGAAATTTTCAGAAACAATTCTTTAAAAAAATACTTTTTGATACCAAGTTCAACAATTATGATGTTGGAATTTAATAGAAATGTCAAATCCACAATTCCCAGATCAAGATGTTTAAATTGTAAGTTCTTTTTTATTAAGTGTATATGAATATGTTCATATATAGAATATGTTTTGCTAAAGCTGGACAATTGACACACCCAACGCATATTCTAAAATTACTTCTATAAAAAAAAATACGATACCTTAAAAAGGTGAGTTTGTTTACTACTATTAACTTGAACAAAGGTGGTTGGGCTCTTCTGTGAGTATACCAGAAGCATTTAAAAGCATGAAACATTTTAGTTTCATACTTAAATTGTTTGTATTTTTATTTCTGAATTTACTGTTTTATTTCTTGTTTGTCTAAAAGTGTTTTTCACATCTGTTTTTTTTGTTTGTTTGTTTGTTTTTTATCATTTTCCTTATTAAGAGCTTGGCAAAACACTTCTTCCAGAATAGGTATATTAAGAGAATCTCATGATGTTGGACTTTCCTTGGTCCTTCTCTTTCTCTCTGCCCCCATTTAAGATGTTGTCATCCAGCCTCCCTTTGGAGTATCCAGCCTAGCCACCATCTACATAAAATTGCAATTCAGGGCCATTTTGGCGCTGTTCAGAGCAAGAGTTCGCTTTGAAAGGGAAATGTACTAGAGTGGAAGCATCTTGAGTGATTGTGGTAGAGCTCAGTAAACTTTGAAGCGGATTCACAGAGGGGGTGCCTGGCCAGGGAGCTGCAGTGCTCTAACGTGTGAGAGGGAGGCACTGCAAGGTTGGCATATTCAGAGTTGCGTTCTCGGAAGAAAAAAAAAAACTTTTAGTTGCATTTACCTTGTTTAATAAATGTTTTTAATTAGTTCTTCTGCCTTCGTATCTTTTGATATCTTTTCTTTGTGTGTGTATATATAAAATAATACTAATTCACCAAGTTTGCACAAAATCCATGTGAGTTAGTGGGACTTGAGCTGACTTCAATTCTAATGAAGAAGGAAGAAATGGGTTGATGTTCTCTCAGCAGGAGAAACAGTATTTCCAAAGTAATGGGGGGGAGCACCCCATGTTCAAGAACAGGAAAGTGCAGTGGGCTGGCAATGTGGTTAGGCATGGACGGACATCTGTGACCAGTTACTCAGAAATCGTAGCTGAGTGTTGGCACTAAAATTAGTTTTGGGGAATGGAATAATTTACGATGCGCAGTGATACTGTATCTGGAATCCCCCACTTTGAGAATAGTAAGGATATTTTCAAATAACTATTAGTGGTGTGGGAGACAGTGACAAATTACTAGAGCTAGTATATGCTAGGACCTACATGTTATGTGTGTTTTCTAAGCTGGATATTTATACTTGATGTTTCTTGAGAAACAATTTTTTATGGTCTGCGTTCAGTTATTTAAGCTGATGGTTATGAGCAGACTGCAGAAATTATTGTAACAATATTTTTTTAAATAGCTAATACCATGCAAAAATGTAAAGTCCTGGTTTCAGTCCTGTCCTGGAGAGGACCTGTGAATAGTGGCCAGTGTGACATCTTACAGAGCTAGTCTGTACGTATATTACACAGTATATACTTCTTTTTTAACAAGTGGCAATTGCAGAAATTGTTTATTTTTGTATAGTGTACCTTTTGTGACCGCTACATTTTGTGTTGTACAAAGGTCTTATTCCATGATTATAAAAGAATTCATTTTTTTTCCCCACTGGTTTTAAAGTTTCATGTTTCAGGTTTATACCTTTTATCCAACTAGAATCCATCTGGAATTTATTTTTGATAGATGGTAGGAGGTAGGGATCCAATTTTTTTTTTTCCTTCCAGAATGCTACTCAACCCCAATGTATTGAAAAGGTTTTCATTTTATGGCAGTGACATTGGTTTACAATACAGCATTGCAGCTTCACACTTTTAATGCATTTTCTTGGGTTTTACTTGAAAATAATTGTATCTTTTCTCTGTCTAGATTCAAGGGTTAGATACTAAATTCCCTTTGATATTTGGGTCCATTTTACAACTTTGTAGTTGGCTTCACGGGTCCTGTCTACTCTACTGTGTCCAGCATTGCATTTATGATAGCTTTTAATAAGGTAGGGTTAGTTTCCTTGAAACTTTTGGCTTTTCCTGTGGGCTATTTTACTTTTCAGGAAAACTCACTCCTAGTGTATTTCTATAGGTTTTGACAAATTGGTGTTGTGTTTCCTTCACCACAGCTAATTAATACTCCTGGGCCCCTTCCTATGCCCCTTTGAAGTCAACTCCCCCACCACTCTCTTCCACCGTGATGTTTCCAGTACTATAGCTTTGCTTTTTGTGGATTTATTTCTCTATGTAGTTAAAGTCAGTCTTTCTAGTATCTCCTTAAAGTTGTTTTTGTACTGGTGTTAAGAGTTAGACTTGATATCTTGGTGTTAATTTTTCCTATTAGAGATGTCTATATTACTACCTTTAATCTTTTTAACTTCATTATAAATTGCTTTTTTTTTCATTCTATAGATGGTGCCCTTTCATTTTAAGCTTTTTTTTTTATTTATGCTCATTTTATGATGAGCTGTTGTATTAATCTGATGCGCCATAGAAATAGAATATAGAGATAAATCCTTCCTCTTAAGAAACCTACCTCTATATTTTATTGGGGGGGGGGGTTCATTTTGTCAGACTTCAGTTCAAATGCAATCTTTTTCTGCCCTCATCGGCACACCCAGAACTACTGCTTAATCAGCTATCAGTGTATCTTTTGGCTGAGTCAAGCTGACAAAATTCCCCACCACAGCCACATCACCACTTCATCATTATTTGTAGTACTTTTTCATTTTATTGCAGTAATACTGGTTTACAACACTGTACAAGCTACAGCATTGCAGCTTCATACTTTTAATGCATTTCTTGGGTTTTACTTGAAAGTAATTGCATCTTAAAATGATGGTGACTTTATTACCTCTTTCTCTAATTTTTACACTTTTAATTTTGTAACTTCTGTTGCCTGACTTGCTAAGTTCGCCTGGGAGGCTCTGTGAGGCGCCTCCTCTCAGTCTTCATGCTCCCGGATTCCCTCTGCATTTGGCAACCCTTCTCCCGGATTCCCTCTGCATTTGGCAACCCTTCTGTTCTGTGTTGTGTTTCAGATTTCTTAGAACTTAAAGTTTACAGTTTTTGTTTCCTCTTACTTCATTTGGATGATTCCTCAAGAGAGAATGAACAAGTTACTGCGAAAGGCATAAACTCTTTTAAAAAGACACTTTGATCAAAGTATTGTTACACTGAAATCCTCCTCTGGAAAGTAATTGGAAAGCTACTTTAGTTTTCCCATCCTCCTTTCCTAACCCAGCTCTTCTGTTTTCAGCTTCTCTGAATAAATGAAATTTCTTCCTATAAACTGTGCTGTGGTCCAAGGAGAATTGCCTTTCAAAGCTCTTGCCCTTTGTGTGTGGGTTAGACTGGGTCACTTTCAAGGAATAGTTCATAAAAAGGAAAAGTAAAACTGTAGTTAAGAAAACTGACAGAGAAAGGAAGGTGGTGAGGTGAGGGAGGGGGTGAAGTTGGTGGGGGAATGAGGGGAGAGAAGAAGAGAGGTCAGGAGAAATGCCAGATGACTAAGGGTAACTCACGTTAATACTGCAGCCTCGATATGAAGTGATGAGAAGGGCCCTTCACCCCTGTGATGGGCTTCTCTGTAGGTGGAAAAGCCTACAATCCCTGTCTGTCCAGTCTACTTGAGAGGAAAAAATCGGACAAACCCAAGCTGAGGGACACTGTAGAATACCTGATCCTTATTCCTCAAAGTCATTAATTATGAAAAACGTAAGATGGCTGAGAGTGTCCCAGGCCAGAAGAGACTACGGAGACCTGACAGTGCAGGGACTTTCCTGGTTTGTATCTTGCAACAAACATCAGTGGGGAAAACTTGTGAAATCCAAATACATTCTGGAGTTTAGTTAATGTACCAATGTTGGTTTTTTTTTTTTTTTTTTTTGCTTTCACCATGGTCATGTTTAATGTTAGCAGTAGGAGAAATGGTAGCATATGAGAATACTTGCTAAACAGGAAAATTTGCTCATTTTTGAGAAAGATTATAATCCTTTAAATTGCAAGTAGATTTCAATCTAGGCTATTTATTTCTTGAAGAACCACAAAAATTAATTTCCCTCACCTATGATTTTACAAGAAATGGAGGAATATTTGGAGAGAGGGCAAAGGGAGTAATGATAGTGACCCAAGGGTTGAAAATTAAAATCTAATGAGGAAAAATAGAACATTCTTTGAAGAAAAGAAAGAAGTTGAGAGGCTAGCCTTAACTTTTTTTTTTTTTAAGATTCTGTAAGCAGATGGGGAAATTTGTGGTGGGGTACAGGGGAGAGCTGCATCTTCCCTCATAGAGTTTTAGTGTGACTGTACTAACCTACCACAAATACTTGACTGGCACTTTCACCTGTTACATCTGTTAAAGTCAAAGGAACGCTTCTTGAAATATTGGAAAATTCCATTCCATATGATTTTCCATTTAATTTTCAGTGTTAATATTGTAGCTACATGTAGGCTATTTTTTCATCACCAAAATAGACTTTCTCAACCAGTTTTGAGAAAATGTGTCAATATATTCAAGCCTTTGTTCAGTAAAACAAAATTATTGAGAACCTCACATCACACAGGACTACTGACATTTAAAGTGTCTTAACAGTGTTTCATGTTACAAAATTACTATTTGCACCCAAAATTCAGATTCCTTCTGCTATACCATGCTGCCTGTGTTCTGGCTATCAATATGTAACTAGTTCCATGACTGACTGACTACCTACTCTGCCCAAAGCAGACCCTTATAATTACTTACTCTGTAGCAACTTTAGGAACCTCTGGGGGCACTCTGTTCTCTCCTATAAAGAACTGCATGGTTAAAAAATCACTAACTTCCAGTATGAGTTAGTGTAATATCTACATGACATAAACACAGTAATTGAATGCCTAGAAAGCCAGCACTACTTTTTCCTAAAATCTATTTCTCTTGGTTTAACTCAATGATCTCAAATTTTTTGGTTGTTCACATTAATTTAAAAATTTGAGTGCCTATATGTAACATGTATCTGTATTTATTAATGTATGTTAATACATAATGTAGTTTAGTTTTAGGGCAAAATGTTTTTTAATTCATGCTGACAATCATTCTTCATTTGTTATACTTACATCATTCATATTAAAGTTCTATACATGGTTGGTTTTATGTCATATTCACTATAAAGTATATACAAGAAAGGACAAAGATGAAATAAATTCTAAATGTTCTATAATTCATGATAGCTTCATATTGTCATAGCTTCTTAATATCTTAAGACCCAATGTAAATTTAGTTTGTGTTTGCCATTTCATAGTTCACATTAATAACTTTTTTCTTCTCTTATGTGACAAGGAAATAATTAAAAACACCCTATGTACTATACTATATTCTGAGTACTCTTATACATTAGCTAATTTAGTCTTAACAACAACCACATGAGATAGACATGATTATGATGAAGAAATCATGGCATAAAGTGTTAAGCCAAAGTTTGCAGGGCTTGTAATAGCATTTGTATTCAAACTAAGCGTGGCTCCAGTTATTGTTGGAATTACTCTGTCTGGTGTAATAGCCATTAGCCACATATGGCTAAGGAAATTCGAATTTCATTTTTTTTCAGAATGTATTTAGTACCTCAGTTGTACTAGATAGATTTCACAAGCTTGATACCCTGTGTGGCTGTGTGACCCCCATATTGGAGAGACCCAATCTAGAGCATTTCCATCATTGCTCCAGTAATTATTTTTTATAATTTTTATCTTGCACTGGGGCTTTGGCACTGTGAAATAAGCACTCACTTTAGTTCTGTTTCAGTTTGCTTATGCCTGCATGATTGGTATTGTCTCAATCCAGTTTTTTTTTTTAATAGGAATTTCTCAAAGACATTTGTCTGCTTGTTGTATTTGTTTGAATTAAAACCAGACTACAACCCAGACGTCCATTTAACTGGACACATACATGACATTATGTCAAAATACAGAAACAAATGAGAACTCCTCTGACCTTAACCCCTTGGTACTGTGAAATACCTCACATGTTATCTGACACTGAATCATGTGAAAATCTCAGGATCTGTTTATATGTAGCTAAACAGAAGGAAAAAAAGTTAAACAGCTTTATTGACATCTAATTCATCCAACGAAGAATTCAGTGTTTTTTAGAATATCACCTCCATGTACAACAAACACCAGTCATTTTAGACCATTTTTATCATTTCAGCACACTGAACCCAGTTGCCATCACGCACCCTCACTCTTCTCTGTCCTAAACAGCCACATACACTTCCGGTCCCTAGGTCTCTGGTAAGCAGAGGTTCTCATGTAGTCTCCCTAGACCCTTGAACTCCCACTTGCCCTTGGAGCACACAAGCACCCTTCTTGGAAGGTCCCTATTCTAGATCTCTGACCTTTACATTCCTGACCTGCTTATCCCTTTTTTGCAATGCCTTGCTTTTTTTTTTTTTTTTTAATCATTATTCCTTTGTCTTCTTCTTTGCAAAGGAATAAGCAAACCTTCCGGCTAGAGACCAGCAGGACTGTGGCTCAGCAGGGGAACTGAAATCTTAACGGGACACAGATGTTTACTATGTGGGATACAGGGCCAGAAGGAGACAATAAATGAAAGGATAAATATAAGAGTACTTCAAAGTTGCTCTCTTTGATTCTCTTAAAAACAATCTTTGTTGCCTCTTTAACAAGATAAAAATCCTTCACGTTTTGCATTTTCTGCTTTTTAGGCGACATTTTCCGTTTCATTTATTCTTTCATTAGAACATTTGTCCACTATTTAATTATCTAAATAAAAGATGTTTTAATTGAATTTATAATATGATAAGCTCTGATATTTCTGTTTTTCTTTTTAAATGTTTATCAGAGAACAAAAACTGGGTAAATGTAACTTCATTTGCAAATGTTTTTCAAACAGCGGTGTTTACAAATGTTTACAAATGACAGGTGACAGGGACCCAGTAGAAGTCCTGACCTTCTCAGATCTGGGTCTCTTCAGGGGTGCACACTTGTGCAGCAAGATTTTTTTTTTAAAGATTTTATTTATTTATGAATCCAGAACTGGGGTACAGGCCAGAGGTGCAGAGGCAGCGAGTGGATCCAGCTGGCAGGTCAGGAGAAGTCTGCTACGCCATCTGGGTCACCTCGGGGACAGGGATAGAACTCGGGAAGTGGCCACGGCTCGGCTTAACTTCTCAGTGCAGCGCTCCAACACACTGCACCACCAGGATGGGCCAGGGGGACTATTTTGTTCAAGACGGTCCCACATCAGTGGACACTTAACCCTTTGGCCCTGGACCTCTAAACAGGCCCAGGCTTTGGCACAATCACAAAGTGCTTAACACTTCTCTCTCCTTCCTCACCTTCCT